CCCCCCTCCCAATATCTGTCACCCCCCAACCCCTCACACTGACCCCCCTTCCAGTGTCCTGTCACCCCCCCAACCCTCCAGTGTCTGTCACCCCCAACCTCCTCACTGGCCCCACCTCCTAGTGTCCTGTCACCCTCCAGCCCCCTCCACTGACCCTCCCACCCACCCCCAGTGTCCTGTCACCCCAAACACTGACCCTCCCTCCCAGTGTCTGTCACACCCAACCCCCCACACTGACCCTCCCAGTGCCCTGTCACCCCCCAGCTCTCGCCACTGACCCTCCCTCTCACCCCTCCCAGTGTTCTGTCACCCCTCCCAACCCTCCCACACAATGACCCAACACCAGCCCCCCCAACACTGACCCTCCCTTGCACCCCTCCCCGTGTCCTGTCACCTCCCCAGCCTCTCCACACTGACCCTCCGTCCGCACCCTACCAATGTCCTGTCACCTCCCAAACCCCGCACTGACTCTCCCACCCCTCCCAGTGTCCTGTTACCCCCCCAATTCCCCACACTGACCTGCCCTCCCGGTGTCATGTCACCCCCCAATCCTCCCACACTGACCATCTCTCCTACCCCTCCTACTGTCCTGTCGCCTCCCCAGCCCTCCCTCCTCCTCCCAGTGTCCTGTCACCCCCCAATCCCCTCAACTAACCAACCCTCCTACTGTCCTGTCACCTCCCCAGCCCTCCCCCACACTGACCATCCCTCCCTCCCCCTCCCAGTGTCCTGTCACCTCCCTCAGCCCTCCCCCACACTGACCATCCCTCCCTCCCCCTCCCAGTGTCCTATCACCCCCCCAGTCCTCCCACACTGACCTTTCCTCCCCCTCAGCCCTCCCCACACTGACTATCCCCTACAGGTACCTCCCCATAGTGTCATCTCCCTCCTCCATCACACTCTCCCCTCTAGGTCCCGCCCTCCCCCAGGTAAATCCCACCCAGTCCTCACCACGCCCCTTTCCAAACGCCCCGCCCCTTATCAGGCTGCACGCCCCGCCCCTTATCAGGCTGCACGCCCCGCCCTTTGGGGCGTGGCCTCCATCGCGGCATGTGGTCTCTCTGGACTCCCGCTGGGCAGGTCCAACTAAAGCTTCTCCCGGGGGTCACGCTGCAGCGCCGCCGCGGCCAGCGGGGCCCGAGCCGCTCCGAGCACTCGAGGGTGGCGCCTTTCCAACAAGCTGCCAATTCGCCGCCCAATCAGAGCGGGCCTGAGACAGCACACTGCCAATCAGAACGCGCGGGGCGGGGCCCATTCCGCCGTGCGCTCGAGGCCTGCCCCTTCCCTGCGAAACTTGGGATTGGCGTGTTCGAACCGTCACGTGGCAGGGGGCGAAGGGCGCTGCTGTCCCGCCTCTCTGTTACTATGGCAACAGTTCAGCTGTGCTGGGGGCTCGCTACTCTCTATCCGCGCCGCAGCTGCTGCTGGCCTTGCCGTGAGAGGGTCGCCTGCTCCCCCCCCGCATTGGGGCTCTGGCCAGTGGGGTGCCCAGCTCCCCCCACCCCCCTGTCCTTGGGGCTCAGGCCAGAGGGTGCCCAGCTCCCCCCCACCCCCTGTCCTTGGGGCTCAGGCCGGTGGGGTGCCCGGCTCCCCCTTAGCCCCCCCATCATTGGGGCTCAGGCCAGAGGGTGCCCAGCTCCCCCTCACCCCCCATCCTTGGGGCTCAGGCCAGTGGGCTCCCCCTTAGCCCCCCCATCATTGGGGTTCAGGATGCCCAGCTCCGCATGCTGAACCCCCCCATCCTTGGGGCTCTGGCCCGTGGGATGCCGCACTCAAGCTCCCCCCTCTGTCCTTGGGGTTCAGGACCCATAGGGTGGCTGGCTCCCCCTTTCCCTCACTAGTGATGAATCAGGGTTAGTTGCAGACCCTATGGTTGTCACAGGTGCCGTTGGCCCTCCCACCCCTCCTTTTCTGGCTTCCCAGTCTCTCCCTGCTTGGCCCAACCCTTGGCCGTACCAAGAGACTGGGCCAGTTTCCTTGTTGGGACTAACTTTGAAAATTGACCCCACCAGCCTGAAAATCCCACTAATGCCTGGAAATGGGCTTTGTGCCATAGACCTTGACCTCACAGATGCTCATAGGTCTGCTGGAACCATATGGCCCCACTGACATAGAAGGGGTGCTCTACAAAACATTACTCTGCCTTTTCTCTGTCCTTGGCAAATACAATCCTGCCCTGCTCATATCCATTCAAAATGCAGCTGCAAAGATCATTTTTCCTAGATTGTCACTTTGATCATGTCACCCCTTTGAATCCCTCCATTGGTACCCTCTTCTCTATCAAATCAAACATAAGCTACTTGTCTTCATTTTCAAGGTCCTTCATGGCTTATCCCCATCCTACCCATCATTTCTCATTCACTATCAAGATGTCAACTCCACCTTGCTCATTGACACCAGCCTCCATTGTCCACTTGTTAAATTTTAAAACAAGTACCTTTGTGCCTTTGCCAGTGCTGCCCCTCAACCTTGGGAGGATCTCTCTGCAAACATCCACCAAGCAACCGCATTAACTTCCTAAAACTCACCTTTGCCACGATGCCTACAAAAATGTGAACAGTAGTTAGGCCACTGGTGCTCTGAAACCAGTCAGTCGTATTGACCAGTATTGTCTCATTGTTTCCTTGTATTCCCCTATGTGTCACTATCCATCTGTGGCCTCTTGTCTTATGCTTCGATTGTAAGTTCTTGGGGACAGAGACTACCTTTTATTATGTTTGTACAGCACCAAGCACAAAAGGGTTGTGGTCCATGACTAGGGATCATTGCTGCTATGGTAATACAAATAATAAATAATATGTGCCAGCTGCTCATGTACAGATTATAATAATTACAATTTGTTGCAACAATTGTTCATTATCTTTTCTTAAATACTTTTCTTCTATATCATATGTAATGTGTTTTTCAGTTACATTCAACTATGTGGAAAGTTTGAAGGGAGTAGCAAACCGTATCTGAGGTGAGGGATCCAAATCTTTTTATGACCTATAATTCGAACAGTTGGGCTAGATAAACTGGCTTTTGGCCTGCACTGCTTGCTCCCTCAACTATGGAGAAGACTGTGTGTGCGCCAGGGTTGTTAAAAAATCAACAGGTATTTACAGCACGGTCACATAGGGAATCTATAGTAAAGCTGGGAATAGAACCCAGATCTCTTCTCAGAAACCTATTTAAAATTTGTGCCTACCTCACTTTTCTTTATAATAATTAATCTGAAAGGAGTTTTATAAAAATGAATATCCTTTATTACTTGTAGTGTATTTGTCATTTGTTTTATTATATTAGATACCATTTGTGATACTTTTAAATTTGTTTTTCCTATTTAAATAATTGTATTTGAATTTTGCTGCAGTTATTGTATAGCATATTTAATTCTAATATTTATGAACATTTTAGTTGAAAAATATTTTGTTTACTATTATTATTGCCACTTTTAAAATATTACACAGAAAATATATTCCAGTGCACATTAGTAAATAAATTATGCTTGTAATTTCTAGTGCATTTTTAATTATAAATTCATCCATGTCTCCCTTTATTTATGATAGTGATCCTCTGTATTGCAATACAGTATATATTATCAGAGACACTGTTAATTACAAGTATCAGGGGGTAGC